ATTCTGACCCACAGCGCCCCTAGAGGACAGAGTGGAACTGCCCCACAGGGTCTCCAAGGCTGTCAGTCTTCATGGAAGCAAAGCCCAAACCACACCCACTGCCTGGAGTCCATTCTGACCCACAGCGCCCCTAGAGGACAGAGGGGAACTGCCCCACGGGGTCTCCAAGGCTGTCATCTTTACTGGAGCACGCTGCCTTATCTATCTTCCCTGTAGCAGCTGGAGGGTTCAAATTGCCAACTTTTTGGTTAGTTTTAACCACTGCACCACCAGAGCTTCTTGATAGAGCAAAGTTACTTAAAAAAAAGAAAGAAAAAAAAAAAACAACTTTGAAACCAAGAAACACACGTTCATCACTTACAAAGAATTTTTCTCTTCTGAATGAGTCAGGTGGACATGCGCTGTAGTCACCAAAAGCTAATTTGCCAAGGGGCCAATTTGCTAACTGGCCTTTTCACCATATTTTCAAGTTTGAAAGCAATGGAGCTAAAAATCATGTTTCTTTTCATCTTTACAAAGTGAACAGAAATGTGGGTGAGTCGGGGTGCCGCTCCGTGATCCTGCCCAGCGTGAACACCATCCAGGTTAAGGGGTGTTGGGAAGGGGTCTGGTGGACACTCGTGCCCCTTCCCACGCCAGTGAGACCAGCTCGCCCTTGATTTCTCCTCAGCCGACCACGTGACTGGTGAGCTGGCCCAGACCAGACATGACAGCAAAGAACACGTGGTCACCATGGCGGTGAAACTCGTGTCAGTAACACCAGTGGGACCAGCTGACTACCACCAAGACACTGAAGTCTCCGATCCCTTAACCAGGCATGGCCTTCCCCAGGCTGTGCTGAGACATCCAATCAGAAGAGCACCCACGGGGAAAGCCCACCTCCCCAGATGGCCAAGGCCATGTCCGGTTGTGAAAGGCAGCTGTGCCTCTGAACACACCTTGCACATGAGGTTCCACGTGGAACACACACAGCACTGACATGTGGACAGCAGAGCCGCAGACCTGACAAATTCTGAGCACAAGGTGCCAGTGGAGGGAAGACACTGAGTGTTTGCCTTGCAGGTTGTTTCGAGGAGGTTAATGGGAGGGAAGGTGGGAAGTCACGCTGCCTTTGCTTTAGCCCAGGCAGATGGGAATCTCTCGCTAAATTTGGCGTGAGCAATCAGGGATTT